CGGCGCCGGCCCCAGCCCATTTCTTTAAACAGGTTTTCTTATTGTTGAATTTTAAGAGTTCTTTGTGTATTTTGGGTAAAAATATTTATCAGAGATATCTTTTCTCCCAGTCTATGACTTGTCTTTTCATTCTGTTGACAGTGTCTTTTACAGAACGGACTTTTTTTATTTTAATTAAGTCTGCTTTATCAGTTACTTCTTTTATGCATTGTACTTATGGTGTTGTATCTAAAAAACCATCACCAAAGCCAAATCCATCTAGATTTTCTCCTCTCTGGTCTTCTAAGACTTTTATAGTTTTGTGTTTTACATTTAGATCTGTGATCCATTTTGAGTGAATTTTCGTGATGAGTGTAATTCTATGTTTAGATTGAGATTTTTCCATGTGGATATCCAGTTTGAGTATTTTTCACATCTGCTGATTGACTGTTTGCATATTTTTCTTTTTAAAAATACTATGTAAAAATCTTAATATACACTAAATTGATCTTCTGTTTATAAAGATAATTGAAAATTAATCTTGATGTGAAGGGGATGGGGAGAGGGAGTGGGAGAGGGGAGCGTTGTGGGTGGGAGGGAAGTTACGGGGAAGGGGGAAGCTGTTGTAATCCATAAGCTGTACTTTGGAAATTTATGCTCATTAAATAAAAAAATACTATGTAGGGCCAGCATTGTGGCACAGTAGCTTAAGCTGCCCCCTGCAATAATACTAGCACCCCAGATGAGCAGCATACCTTCTGAGTACCAGATCAAATCCTGTCTGCCCTGCTGCTGATCCTGTTCCCTGCTAATGCACCTGAGAAATCAGCAGAAAGTGCTCCAAATTCTTGGGCCCCTGGTACCTGCATGGGAGATCTGTAACTCTGCCCTTCAAATAAATAAATATTTTTAAAGATTGTGTTTTATAGGGAACATTTACATTTGAATGATTAAATTTGACCTGTAGTGGATGGAAGTAGGTTTTTTTTTTTAAGATTTATTTATTTGAAAGAAAAAGTTACACAGAGAGAGGAGAGGCAGAGAGATAAATCTTCCATCCACTGGTTCACTCCCCAATTGGCCGCAAAGGCCAGAACTGCACCAGTCTGAAGCCAAGAGCCAGGAGCTTCTTCTGGGTCTCCCACGTGGGTGCAAGGGCCCAAGAGCTTGGGCCATCTTGTACTGCTTTCCCAGGCCATAGCAGAGAGCTGGATCAGAAGTAGAGCAGCCAGGGCTTGAACTGGTGCCCATATGGGATGCTGGCACTGCTGGCGGCAGCTTTACCCGCTATACCACAGCACTAGCCCCAATATTTTGTTGTTAAAAAGTGTTTTATTTATTTATTAAGATTTATTTATGTGAAAGAGTTATGGAGGAGGGGAAAGAGAGACAGAGAGAGAGAGAGAGAATCTTCCATCCACTGTTTCACTCGCCAAATGATCACAACAGCTGGGGTTGGGCCAAGCCGAAGCCAGGAGCCCGTAACTCCAACCAGGTCACCCATGTGGGTGGGAGAGCCCCAAGCATTCAGGCCATCTTCCATTGCTTTCCCAGGCACATGAGCAGGAAGCTGGATTGGAAGTAGAGTAGCTGACACTTGAACCAGTACCCTTTTGGGATGTCAGTGTGGTAGGCATTGGTCCAACTTGCCGTGCCACAATGCTGGTCCCTATATTTCTCTTTTTTAAGTGTTTATTTTAATGTACTCAAAAGGTAGAGTAACAAGAGATATTGATCTTCCATCTGCTGTTTCACTCCCCAAAATTCCTGCAACAGCTTGGACTGGGCCATGCCAAGGTCTGGAACCTGGGATTCCATCTGGGTCTCACTCATGGGTGGCAGGGGCCTAAGCACTTGAGCCATCTTTTGTTGCCTCCCAGGATACATTAGTATGAATTTGGGTTAGAGGTGAAGGAACTGAGACTTAAATCACCAAATCAAGCATCCAAAGCTGTAGCTTAACCCACTGCACCACAATGCCCGCCTCTGTACCACTTGTGTTATTGAGTTGTAAAAGTTCTTTATGTATTTTGGATACTAGTCTTTTTGTCAGATATGTTTTGTGAATATTCTGTGGTTTACTTGTTTGTTTGTTTCATGGTGTCTTGATGAGCAGAGGACCAATGCCTACCACACTGACATCCCAAAAGGGTACTGGTTCAAGTGTCAGCTACTCTACTTCCAATCCAGCTTCCTGCTCATGTGCCTGGGAAAGCAATGGAAGATGGCCTGAATGCTTGGGGCTCTCCCACCCACATGGGTGACCTGGTTGGAGTTACGGGCTCCTGGCTTCGGCTTGGCCCAACCCCAGCTGTTGTGATCATTTGGCGAGTGAAACAGTGGATGGAAGATTCTCTCTCTCTTTCTCTGTCTCATCTGATAAAGTCTGATTTGTCAATTTTTTATTGTTTTCTATAACCAAAGAAACCTTTGCCTACTCCAAAGTCCTGAAAATGTTCTCCTATATTTTCTTCTGAAAGCTTTATTTGTATTTAGGTTAGCCATCCATCTCAATTTTTTTTTAAGTGTATGTTCATCCACTTAAAAGACTTAGACAATCCTCCATCTTCTGGTTCATTCCCCGAATGCTCACAATAGCCAGATCTGGGCCCAGCCCTAGCCAGCATCCTGGAAGTCCATCCATGTCTCCGATGTAGGAGAAGGGCCCCAGGCACTGAAGCCATCATCTGTTGTCTACCAAGATCTATTAGCGAGAAGCTGGATTGGAAGCAGAGGTTCTGAGACTCAACTTGTCACTGTTTTATGTAAGACACAGGCATTCCAAATGACAGCTTAACCTGTTCTATGAGGCCTGCCCTCATCTTAAATTTTGGTTTATAGTATGATCTGGGACTTAAGATTGCTTTTTTTCCCTTATGGATATCCAGTATTCCAACAGTACCACTTGTGAAAAAGACTTTCTTTTCCCTATTGGATCAGTTTGGTGTTTCAATCAAAAATGAAATAACTGTTTTAAGTGCAGGTTTATTTCTGAGCTTTCTTTTGTTGCACTGATCTATTTTTTTCAAACCATGCGCCTCTCCACACTGTTTTTATAGTATGTTTTATACTATAACTTATAATACTTTTATAAATTTTGTAGTTGTCTTCTGGGAAGATTGCTTTGGGTATTCTAGGTTATTTGCAGTTCCATTTGATTGTTGCTTTTTACCAACCAAAAATTCTTCTGAGAATTTGGGGTTTCATTGAATCTATGGCCCAGTTTGGGGAGAATGCCATCTTAACAGTATTATCACTTAGAATCCACAAACATATTGTCATACTATATCTGTCCATTTATTAGAATCATCTTTGAATTCTCACCAGTTTATGTATGTGTGCATAATAATCTTCTGTATCTTTTGTTAAATATGTTTGGCTTTTTGGTACTATGTAAATAGAATATTTAAACTTCGATTTTTTAATTCTTATATGCTAGCATACAAAAATACTATTGATGTTTGCATGATAACCTTGACTGACTTATTAGAAATTTGTTATAGAGGATTTTTTAAAATATCCATCGCCTCCATCCTAGATTGTGCCTTTATCACCTCATCTCTGAACATTAAGAGTAACTTCTTGACCACTCTGATATCTGTACCACTCTGTGTCTCTTACCTTCAGAACTCTTCAGTGATTCTCTAGTTTGTATAAATTTCAACAAATTAAGGATGGCATTTATGACTTAGCATAATGTAATCTCCATTCTAACCTTTTCTCCTTCTATTCTTACATGAACTTTATGCACCTAGTTTTCTGCTCCTAAGCCTTTGCTGGCATGGTGATTACTCAAAATATTACCCATCTACTCATCCATCAAATTTCCTATTAACCTCCAAAAGGTATTCTGTACCCTTCAGTAGTCATTCCCTATTCTGTCTGGTCCTAGCAGTCACAACTCTGCTTTCTATTTCTATAGGTTTGCTTTTTCTAGACAATTCACATAAATGGAGTCATACAATATAAAGTGTTTTGAGGCTTATTTCTGTCACTTGGCAAAATGTTTTCTGGGTACATCCATGTCATAGCATGTATCAGAATTTCATTCTTTTTATGGCTAATATTCCATTATATGCATATACCACATTTCACTTATCAGTTGATTCATATGTGGGTTGTTTCTACCATTTAGCTTTTAGTAATACTGCTATGGATATTTGTATACAAGTTTTTGTGTTGATGAGTGTGTATATCAAGGAGTCTCATGACCTATCTTTTCATATTCCTCAGCTTGCACATTAGGGTTTTATACTAAACTCCCACATAATAGTTAAAATACAAGCTGATTGCTTTTAAATAACAGCAGAGAGGTGTTTTCTGAGAGCTTCTGTTAGTGGAATTCTGGTTATATATGAATAAAAATAAATGTGGGTCCCAAGTCAGTCAGTACAAATACATTCAGAGATGCAATTGGAATACTGAGACTGTTTCCTCTGTTCACCCATACATCTAGTTAATTTATGAAATATTTTTGTTAAGTCCAGTTAAGTTCAATCATTGCCTCTTTTCTTTCTTGTTCCAGCAGTAGTATGTTAACCATGGTAAAGAAAAGCAAGATGAATTATTTCATGTTGTGTTAGTTGTCTCAGCAGGCATCACTAATAGCAGCCTTAGTAGAGCATTAATATGTACCATCTAATCGTTCCAGTAACTGAGGACCAAAATGATTGCTTATATATAAGTAGAGTTGTTTTAAAGTTGAATTGTAGTTGAGGCAAGTAAGAAAATGCCTTTACTCATTTTTTCCTAAATGTTAGCAGAATTGCATTCTTGTTGATTCTACCTAATGTTAAGAATAGAAATAAAATATGTAGTTAGTGATTAACTTTTATATCACAAAATGATCTTATCTATAATAATGGGTAAATGGTCATTTACTGTTAAGGTAGAATTGAGAGAGGAGTGTCATGGTGGAAGACTACATTGATACCTACCTTAATGCTCAAAGAGAAGAACTTCTAAATGATGGTTCTGATTGCCTATATCAGTCTAATCACTAATTTTTTTTTTAATTTTAGACACAAAAGTTTTGCAGTACTATTTCAATCTTGGATTGCAGGTAAGAGTCATGTTAAATTTGCTTTCATAAGCTCTAAACTCAAAATATAAAGTGTGTTGATAATCAGACTCTTGAACTTTAAAATCCAAGAATACTGTGAGGGGCCTAAAAATTTTTTTTCTGTCTTGTGAGATCTCTGAAGATATGCTATAGGTCAGTTTTCTACTTTAGCCTCCCAGTGCTTAAGTTTCTCTTACTAGAAGAGTAGAGACTAAACTCTGGCAGCATAACTTCAGCAAATATTAGATTAGCCTTCATATTTAGCATTACATACCAACTCTGTACTGTTTTTCTGTCTTTGAATAAACAGAATATTTACCTTGCCTACTTAAAATATTTTATGACTATTTCTGCATTTTGTGTGAGAACTAATCAGACTGTTAGCTACATTATTTTTAAAAGCACTCGTGTGTTCATAGATACTTGCCAAACACTGGTTTCATCACTCCTACAGATGGGTACTGAGATATGTCTTAATATTTCTTAAAGGTATTTCTGATTTAAGCTGAGAGTTCTTTTATTTTTCCTCCTGAAATAACACTTCTGATAATACAAGATAACTTATTTACTGAAAAGGAATGATGCATCTTAAGATTTGGCAGATGATAAGCTATTACAGTCTCCTGGAAAATGCTCATATTGTTTCATATTCCTTGACACTGATTTCCCAGAAACCTTCAACGTTCCAGAAAACCCTTCTCCAAATAGTACCTATAAATTCAGAGTAGTGGGCTGTTTTTTTTTGTTGTTGTTGATGTTGTTGTTTTTTGAGACTTTTGTGCTAATTGCACTTTCAAGAATTGATAAATTACTTGCCCCTTCAGTTATGTTTATTATAGTCACATGTGGAAACTTTGTTCTACAGGACTGAGGAATTTAAAATATTCTCCAGCTTTTTATATCACAAGAGTACTAGGAAATGCAAACTAGATATTTTAAAAAAAAATTTCAAGGGCAAAGAGAGAGAGCAAGCTCTCATCCACTGCTTCACTCCCCAAATGTCCACAATGGCAGGGGCTGGGCTAGGCCAAAGCTGGGAGTTGGAAACTCACTTGAGGTTACCTGCATGGATGCAGGGACCCAAGTGCTGAGCTGTAACTGTCACCACTGCTTCCCATGGTCTGCATTAGAAGAAAGCTGGGGTTAGGAGTTGGAGCTGGGTATCAAACCCAGGTATTTTGATGTTAGACACAGATGTCTTATCTGCCATGTAGAATTCCCACCCCAGAGTAGCTATTTTAATATTTTAACATAATAGAAGCAGTAGTGTCCACTGCAGTACATTTGGATTAAATAGAAATTCAAATCATCTGTATAACCAGTATACATTTTCATCATATTCCCTATAACGTTTTATTTTTATTTTTTCCAGTATATGGATTCCGCTGCATAATTTTGTAATGTCTTAAGAATATTTTTTCTTGAACTATTTGACAGCATGATTTTTCGCCTATATAGTATTCCATCAAAGATATATAATAATTAATTCATCCAATTCTCTGTTGTTGAATACTTAGGTTCAGTGTTTTTTGCTTTTAATAATAATGCTACAAAATTTATCATTGTATACAGATGTTTATGTATATCTCTAATTTCCATAGGATGCTTTTCCAAAAGAATTCCTAGATCCAAATATGAAATAACAGATGCTGCAAGAGATGTTAAAATTCTAGTAGAGAACAAATTATCTGTCATTTCTTTTATGTCAAAGTCATTGCTACCATACCTGAAAATCATGACTCAATTGTTTTTTTCACTGAGAAATTCTATGGTATAATAGGAAACAGTAAATTTTTTTTTTGTTTTTTGTTGCCCTTTCTTGCTATCAAGTGCTATCATCAGAACTACTGGCACTCCATGGTCTATATGCCACATGTGCAGCAACTCCCTATAGAGAATTATCCAGTGTATCCTGAGCCACCTCCTCTGATAGGCCAGACTGTTACTCACACGTACAGTGAAGTAGGGAGAGCAGATGGCACACAGGCAGAAGCATCAACAAATGGTGAGTATGTAGTGAGATTGTCAGCAAGACAGACAATTGGATTTTATTGTATGTAATCTAGTAATACTTTCAGATGTTTTATTAGGTACATACACTAAGTCAGTGATTCTCAAAGCATCATATGTGGCCCCCTTTGCATCCCTGAGACTCTTTCAAGGGATTCATGAGGTCAAAAGTATTCACAGCAAGATTTTATCTGCCCCTTTAACTATGTTAGATATGCATTGAAGGTATAAAAATCAGTAATGGGTAAAACTGCTGGCACCTAAACACAAATCAAGGCATTGGCACCAAACAAAAATTCCATTTTTATTTCTTCTCCAGTTTCATCAAAAATGTTGTTTTTAATTAATATCTTTGACTAATTTTATTTCATATACTTTGTGATAGAATAGAAGCTATTCATAAAACATATCTGCATATTGAGTGAAGTACAATGATTAACTTAAGAAAAAGTTCTTGTGCTATTGAGTTACAAATTTTGCCAGCTGACTTCTTTCATGGAACACTCTTACTTGAAAAAATAATAGATTGATTATTCTGACTTGGTTGATCTCGCCATCATTTTCTCAAATGAACAAAGTGACCCTATTATTTCTGGAAAAGCAACTAGTAGCATTTATTGTCAAAGAAAACTCCAGTTTTCATGTAAAACTTAGGCTTTTGGAAAACTTCTATCTACTACCATGAGCTTGACAGCTTCCCAGGAATTAAAACTTTTTAACAAGATAGGTGGAGCAATGAAGCCAATTTCTTAAAATGTATAATGAAATGTGTTAACTTAGTGAGGTACAGTTTCCTAATTACCAAAGCATGATGTTACCCGTGCTTGGTTTTCTAAAGTATCTAACCAAAGTACAAGGTAAAACAGTGGATTCTAATGTAACATAATATGAAAAGTCCATATTGGTAATGACTTTTGAGAAACCACCACTTTGATAGTTTTGGTAAATAATGAGGTAATTTGAGGTAAATTTTTTCTAGAAATCACAGGATATCTAGAAGTCTTGTTATTTAAAAAATTCTCTTTTCCAGCTATGTCTCTGAGATCAGATTTCTTCTTATACTTCAACCAAAATGACATATAGTAGATTGAATACAGAAGCATCTGTGAGAGTCCAGCCATCTTCTATTAAGCCATACATTGGAAATTCATACAAATATAAAACAGTGACACTCTTCTCACTTTTTTTAATTTTGGAAAATTTTTTCATAAAATTTATATATATGTAGTTATTTTCACATTAATAAATAGTTTAGTTTTCTTATGTTAATTCTTACTATATTAAATATTGATATAAACCACATAAATAAAATTTATTTGAAGTTCTCAATTTTTTAAGAATGTAAAGTGATCCTGAGACTAAAATATTTGAGAACCACTGTGCCAGACAGTAAGGATGATTGCCATCTATGTGTTTACAGTATAATTTAGATGGGAAAGCATTTGGGAGGGTTTAGAGTAGGATCTTTGGACTGCTCTTCTTAGAAAGAATCAGTAGGAGGCAGAAGAAATGGTATGAACTAATCTAACTAAATCTGTTTTAAATTCTAACACTGCTACTTGATGTTTGTGATTTTGGTTAAGCTATTTAACTTTCCTAAACCTGATTTTCTGTAAACTGGGAAATAGCTGGCTTGCCAGTGTTGTTAGAAGAACTGATTGCAATCTATATATAAGTATGTTGTACCTGGTGCATATTTGAAATGTTAGTTTCCTTTCTCTACTCCCTTCCCTTTTTAAAGTATAGTAATGTTTTTGGAATGTTGTTAGCACTATATAATCTTGTTTCTAGTGAGCTGATATGATGTGGCCCATGGTAATAAAAAAATAAAGTGTCAAACTTCATTGCATTTTTGTACAATGTACCTTTTATAGAGCTCTTTTTAGTTGTAGTAGTAAACCATGAGGCAGTGGCAGTCTTGATTCAATGGAATGGGATAATCTAAATAATTAAAAATTCCTTTTTTTGTCTAATATGTATGGTCACTATAGCAAAGTTAGAACACCATCAATTTCTACTGTGTTTTTGATCATAGCCATTCCATCCGGGATGAGGTGATATATCATTGTGGTTTTGATTTGAATCCATTTTCCACAAACTTATATGTAATGTTTTATTTGAAAATTTTCATATTATCTTTTGGTTGTTTCCTTTTAGTCACTATTATTTATATGTAAAGTGCCCCTGCTGCAGTTGCCGTGATCTTTCTTACAGTTAGTGATATTATTATATTTCACCTGTAAGAACATCTGTTTATTTTGTATGGGATCTATTTCAGTGAATTTTTGTGTATAAAGTATACCATATGTATTCTGTATTTCAGATACTTTTCCAAATGCTGATCCTGCATCCATCCCTCATGGAGCAGTCTACTATCCAATGATGTCAGATCCCTATGGACAGCCACCTTTTTCAGGTTATGATGCCTGCTATCCTGTTGTGCCAGATTATACCTGTGTTGCCTCATGGCATCCAGTTGGTGCAGTCTATGGCAGTTCTTCTCAAATTCATGGTGCTATAAATCCTGGGCCAGCAGGCTATGTTGCTCCAACTTCCTCAGCTCCTCATTATTTACCTCAAAATATGTAAGATTCAACAGTATGAAGTATTCTTGCACTGCTATTTCTTGCTGTTTTGGTTTTTAGAAAGTCTTTTATGTTAGTGTTTAAATGGTTTAGGTGGGTAGAATGGTTACCATTGTATCTGTTTTCAAGAATATTTTATCTTTTGATTTAAAATACCACATTAAAGTAATATTTCTTTGAGTTGTGAATGAAGAAATTGAGTTGAATGTACAACTAGTCCCACATTTTATTCAACTGCTTTCCTATCAGCTGGCTTGTCAACTTTGAGTTAGCTGATGGTAACAATTGATAAAACGAATAAGTCATACAAACTGTTTCCTTAGTTCAGAGATCACACATATTAAAACATGCAAAATTGGAATAACTTGTGCTTTTTTCTAGAAAGCAAAACAATAAAACCAGAAGCCTTTGCCTCTGGGTGACTCAATATTAAATGAGAGTGTTCTTCAGATGTCTTAAGAGTTGTCTGAACTGAGCTGTATTCTGTGGTAATCAGCTTTGAAGGCACACGGTGCTCTGCTTTAGATTTATCCTATACTATTGTTTAAAACTGGATTTATGTAACTGTTTTACTGCACAGTATTGAATTGGTGTCCTTTGCACAGTTAGCAGTAAATAAAAACTAGCATTTAAAATTGCCAAAATGTGTGAGATTTTCTTCTATTTTACTTTTTCATGGCCACAAAGAGTGTACCAGACATTTGATTATTTCAGCATGTTTTTTCCCCTGGCATTTTGGTTGCAAAAGAATGTGAATTTATAGCATGAACTGGTGGGGGTAGTTGCGGGACCATTTGAAATGTCATTTAATCTCAGGTCACTGCAATGCATACTGCTGTATCTAGTTCTTTTCTCCTGAGAATGTTCCTTTTTAGGTTGTATTTCTGTTTTTCAGAAACATCTGTATAAACCCATTATGGAACATTAATCTAGACTTTCTTATTGTCCTATGCTTTGCAGTTTTTCATCTTGATGTTTTGTGTTTAGACTTATCTTGTATCTCTGAAGGCTTGTCTCTTTCTGCGAGACAGTTCATCAATCCATCTTTCCTTTTCCTTTTCATCTATCCAAACACCCCAAGGTGTTCTGTATTTTGATCAGTTCTCCTCTGAGGGGTAATTTGTCCTAAGTGCATTACTGTATTTCATCTGACAGCAGTTTAGAAAGTGTTCTTTGGTTGCCCCAAAACCTACTTTTTTTTTTAAAGTTTTATTTATTTGAAAGGCAGAGTCAAAGGGAGAGGGAGGGAAAGGAGACAGAGACTGATTGATTGAGATCCTTCATCCACTAGTTCACTCCCAAAATGGCTGTGATAGGCAGGGCTGGGCCTGGCCAAAACTAGGAGCCTGAAACTTTATATGGGTCTCCAGTGTGGGTGTCAAGTATCTAAGTGCTTGTGCCATTTTCTGCTGCTTTCCCAGGCATATTAGCAAGGAGCTGGATTGGAAGTAGAATAGCCGGACTTGAATTGGTACTCATGGGTTTCTGGCTTCACAGGCACTGGCTTAACAGTCTGTACCACGATGCCATCTCTAACCTATTTCTTTCTCTTTCTCTCTTTTGTAAAGGTTTATTTATTTATTTGAAAGAGTTACAGGTGGGGGAACGGAAGGAGGGGAAGAGAGAGAGAGAAAGAGAGAGCGAAATAGAGATCTTTCATCCTCTGGTTCACTTCCCCAGATGGCCACAACTGTCAGAACTGGGCCAGACTATAACCAGGAGCTTCTTCCAGGTTTCCCACATGGATAATGGGCCCAAGAACTTGGGCCATCTTCTGCTTTTCCTAGCCCATTAGCATACAGAGAAAATGCAGCCCCACAAAGGAAGGAAGCAGACCCCGGACACTAACCTTGAAAAGTGGTTGCTCCCAATTAACTAGCTAAGCAGCTGCCCAGTATTATCTTGTCAAGGGAGGGAAGATGTCCTAAGTTCTGCTATCTGTAACTCCAGTGATAAATCTGCCCTATAAATCCTCTCCAGGTATCTCTTTTGTAGCCATACAGAATCCACTGACCATTGAAAAGTGTGGCCTTAAGTCACATAGGATGCAGTTTAAACCCACTGCTGTACTGGCTAAGGTGTGATGCTGATGAACCTATAAATATGGTAAGAAACTTGGGATTGATGCTCAGTTTTCAGGAAATGATTCCGGTTGAGCCCACTCATGTTAATACACTGCTTTGGATCCTCCACTGTCTCTGGTGCCTGTTTGAAAGAAGGGAGTTTTCACATCCCAGGTTTCCATAACAAGCACAGAGAGCTGGATCGGAAATGGAGCAGCCAGGACTAAAATCAGCACCCATATGGGATGCTGGCGCCGCAGGTTGTAGTTTAGCCTACTACACCACAGCAGTGCCGCCCCCCCCAAGCCTGTTTCTTTAAATGTTAGTTATGCTTTTGACTTGTTCTGTCCTTTAACCTGTTTCTACACCCCTGGCAATAGGAACCATTTGAGAAGTCAGAGGTACTTGAACAGTTGAAAGGACTGCAGTGGAACCCATTGCAAAGCAGTTGTTATCTTCAATGTACTATTTTCAAGGCGATTGATATTCCAAATAAGCCAGTGTACAAGTTAAAGGGTTCCATTCACAGAAGCCATTGGTTCAGCTGTTTTTGGATCCATCTTGAAAAGCCTTGCTCTAGGGGCAAGCATTGTAGCATAGCCAGTAAAGCCACTCCCGCATCCCATAGGGCGCCTGTTCCTGTCTCTGCTACTATGCTTCCTATCCAGCTCCCTGCTAAAGGCCTGGGGAAAGCAGCAGAATATGGTTCAAGTGCTTTGGCCCCGCATCCACGTGGTATAACCGATTGAAGATCCTGGCTTTGAGCTGTCTCAGCCCTGGCTGTTGCAGCAATTTGGAAAATGAACCAGCAGATGGACGGTATCTCTACCTCTCTCCCTATCTTCCTCTCTCTCCTTCTCCCTCCCTCCCTCTCTCTGTAAGTCTTTCAAATATTTTTTTTTTTAAAAAGAACCTCTGATCACTTAATTTGTGGATACATCAAGAATAAAAAAAAGCCTTGCCCTAGAACTTGACATCTGACAACTTTAGTAAAGAAAGATGGATGGCATCTCACTGATGTTTGCAACAACCTAACTCTGGATGTATTAGTGCTTTAACTTCTTGGATTCTTAAATTTGTGCAGACTACAAATCATGGCTTGTATAAGTGTTTATTTTAGTCAAGCTTATGACAGAGCAGTGCCCTACTCCCAAGTTTTTTAAATTTGCTAGCATTTCTGATATATGCATAAGTCCCAGCAAGTAATTCTAACTTCAACTGTCATTTGTTCACTAATTAGCTCCATAGGCTGCTTAACAAGGTTGCAGTCTATCTTAAGATTGTGAGTTTGGAATTTGGCTGGTCTTGAAACAAGCACATCTGCCTTCAGTTTCCAGTTGAAAACTTGTAGGTGTATGCCTTGTCCTGAATACCATTACCAATTAATTCAGTTTAATCAGATGATTGTTATTGTCGTAAAACCTGAATTCAACATGTGTACTAAATTGACCTAATTATCAGATGTAATCAGTTTTTATGGTCTGTTTAAGTCATAAATACAAGTCCCTTTGCTGATGTGTTCTACTCTTCTCTAAGAAATAAAAGAGTGAGCCTTGGCCCTCCTATTGGTGAAGACCAGGGAGGTAAGGGTGAGGATAATCTATACTGCTGCAAAAGTCTGCAGTGGTTCTTGGAGGCAGCTGCCAGATAAAAGGAAGTGGTTGTTGTGGTAATTAAAAAATTAAGACTTTACATTGAATCAGCCTGTAGCCAAAATGTAGTGGTAGATTCCTCTTTTACATGTTACATTTCTAGTTGCCCTTAATATTATCAACAATATTCTATCTTTTCTTTACTGTTAACCAAATTTCATCATTCAGAAATACCAGGGGAAGGAGATACAAAGGTAGCATGGTTTATTTGAGAACCTTTACCTCTACCCTGTTCCTGATATAAATCTGGTGCACTAAAGTTAGAAAGTTGGATCTCTTCCATACTGAGGAATAATAATTCATTTTTATTTTTATGTTGTATGTGCATTCTCAAAACTAATTGTGGCTGTCTGCCTTGATTAAGAGCAGATGCAAATATTGAGTCTTTTACTGTTGAAATCCAAGAGTTGTGAATTTAAAACATCTTTCATTTCCTTGGATCCTCTAATCAACGGATAACCTTTTAATTAGCTTTGGAAATAAAAGTATAAACAAGCAAATCATGGTGTTTTCATGTGAACACCAGACATTGAGAATTTAATTCAGACATGATAAATCTCCACCAAAAATGAACTAGTCCATTGGGGAAGGTAGGGCATGAACTTAATCTAGAGTTTTCTAAATCTGGGGCAATTTTAGGTCCTTTGATGTGAAATCTGGAGTATTTTAGTTTTCCATTCATAGCAGAACTAAGAATTCCTGACTGGCAAGCAAAAAATGACCTGTTTTTCCACATCCTATCTAGAATGTTAAATTTCAGGAAAGCAGTTTGATTTAGAACACTTGTCTTTTTTCCTACCTCAATTATCATAGGCAGTTTTATCTATAATACGTTTTAAGGACTTGTTGGGTACCTGTGGGGATATGTAACTTCAAGAAAGGATTGACCTGAGTGTAGGTAACTACCTACTAGGTGACTAAAACTGTTTTAAGGGTGATAATCTGCGGATATGAATTGTAGGTTGAAGATTAGCTGCCTGTTACTCTTTAATAACTGTTGAAGTTTGGGTTAGTTATGCTCTTCTCTACTTTTGTGTTTGAAATTTTTCATAATTATTAAAGAAAAACTACATTGGTAATTGGCCATCTGGAGAGGAGATGTTTGCTTAGGACGTAAGAGTTCAGGTTTTAAAAACTGTTGACTTGGGACTGGCACTGTGGCATGTAGTTTAAGCTTCCACCTGCAGTACCAGCATCCCAGATGGGCACTGGTTTGTGACCCAGCTGCTCCTCTTCCAATCCCGCTCTCTGCTATGGCCTGGGAAAGCAGTAGAAAATGACCCAAGTGCTTGGGCCCCTGCACCCGCATGGGAGACCCAGAAGAAGCTCCTGGCTTCGGATCTGGCCCAGCTCTGGTGGTTGTGGACATTTGGGGAGTGGACCATCTTATGGAAGACCTTTCTATCTCTTCCTCTCTTTGTCTGTAACTCTACTTCTAAAATAATCTTTTTTAAAAAATTATTGACTTCAATCCAGAAAAGAATCTAATTTATTAGAGAGACTGTCACATAAGATCTGTAGATACGATGTGAAGACATCCATATGATAAGAAATGGCTCTTAACATTCTGCAATTCTCAAGAATAGTCAATAGCTACATGTAAAACTAATTTTTATTAACTGTATAACATTTGCTTGTAGTTTAATCTAATTGAGGTGAGTGAACCACTTCAGGTTTTACTATTTCAGTAACAGTTTTCCTAATAATTATCTCTGCCTTCAAGTTCACTTTTTTCTTTACATTTGGCTGCCAGAGGGGATTTTGGAAACCAGGAAATTTCCTCACTGGTGAACTGCTTTTTCTCCCTTTGGTGAGTGGCTTCTGTGACTGGCTAGACTAGGGGAATGGGAATGTTTCCATAATACTGAAGTTCAATTAAATGAATTCTTACAAATTCAGACCAGTGAATAAAAGTGTTAAGATCTTTTCCAGTCAAGGTTATTGGTTAATGTTACTAATGTATTAGTGTTATATGGGTGGTGAATCCCCCACATAATTAGGAAATTTTTCTTGCGAGACCTTATGACTTTTTCCAAACTCTGTATGTGTAAGTATGTAAGATATGGGTTTTTCAAATTGTTTGCAGAATTGTAGGAAAAATCTGCCCTACTAGTAGGATTCTAAAGTGTACTAGGCTTAAAGAAACTGTTTAATTTCATTGCTCTGGTATGTTAGCCACCTCAAAGTTAGAATTTTTACCTTAATAAAAAGCCAATTTATTTTCAGTTGCTCTGCTTGCCTTAGCAGTTGAACTTTGTTTTCTGCCTTTTAACTGTGCTTAGCTTAGCTTCAGCAACCTAAGTAGGTCTCCCCTTCCTAGTTGTTTTGAAGCATGGCATATGTTTGGCTTTTGTTAACCTAGTTCTTTCCCTTTACTGATTGCTTTTTCCAACATTTTATTATGAAAATGTTCTAAATATACAGAAAAATTGGATGAATATATATCCACGACCTAGATTTTATAATGAACATTTTACTCTACTTACTTTTTCACATATCCATCTCTAAATTCTTATTTTTGATGCATTTCAATGTAAATTGCAGACTTAAATACACTGCACCCCAAATATCTCAGAAAGAATATTGTTAACTAGAATTCTGTATTTCTTACAGATTCTTCTTTTGAGGTAAATTTTACATAGTGAAATGCAAGAAATCTTAAGTGATGCAGTCAGTTTTGATAAATCATAACTGACAAATCATAACTTGAATCCCATGTGCTGATCAAGATAGCATCATCCCTGAAAAATCCCTTCATGCCCCTTCCCAGTCAATCCTTACTTCTATCCCCATCCTTCAGGTAACAATTGTTCATTCTGGTTTTACCGCCATTAGAGATTGACTTTCTGTTATTCAAACTGTATGTAACTGAATCTAATTTTGTGCTCTTTTGTGTAAGGCTGATTTCAATATAATATATTTGGGATTCATCTATCTTACACGTCTCAATAGTTGTTTTCTTCTTATTTCTGAGTAGTATTTCATTATATGGCTGTGTTCTGTTGATGGATACTTGGTCTATTTCCAATTTTCAGATGTGAGTAAAGCTTCTATGAATGTTTTTCTGGAAATCATTTTGTGAACACTTTTCATTCCTCTTGAAAGAGAATTGTTGGGTCATAAGTTAGGTGTATGTTTAGTATTATAAGAAACTGCTGGGCATTTTTCCAAAGTAATTGTACCATTCTTACATTCCCATCAGCAATATATGAGAGTTCTAGTTTTTCCATTTCTATCAGCATATGGTGGTGTCAGTCTTTTTGGTTTTAGCCATTCTAGTGAGTGCCTAAGTGATATCTTGTGGTTAAAATTTACATTTTCTTAATTTTTTATCAAGCATTTTTATGTGTATATTCCTTTGTGAAGTATGATCAGACTGTTTCACATTTTGGGAGAAATTTGTACATGTTGATTACAAATCTTTGTCAAATATACTTCGCACTTCTTTTTAAATTGTCCTTATCTAACTAGTGTACAAATGTTATACACTTTTATGCTCAAAATAATTGGGCCAGAATTTCCAAGTTATTTAGCTGAAAGTTGGTGTTTTGCTTATGCTAACCAGTGTCCTAATGGCCTGAAACTTTAATTATTAAAATACAATGAAACATCAGGAATCTGAATTAGTTGGAAGAAACGTAATTGCTGGCGAGTCTATTACTACCAAACCTTCGAAGGAATGTCAATTAATACTTGAAGTATTGCTCAGATGTACTCAGATTACACCATAACCATGACCAGCTTAACCTTGGTTTATATGTCTTCTTACTGACTCAGATTCAAACTGTTTTGTGTGCAACCTGTATCGTATTTTAGGTATCCAATGGAGAATAATAAGTTTCTAGGATCAGGACTTTGAGGTTTCCCAGTGTTGTAAGCTATAGTTTTATCACTGGATTGGTCCTTTATTTTATCAACTCATAGGTTTTCTGAGTGATTACTAAATTTTAAATTAATAGTCATAGCTTGATTTAGTAGGAAATGTAAAAATTGGAATAATGTTTATTTTCAGTCATATACTTTTCAAAATCTATTAGACTGCAGAGGTCTTCTGTTAGTGTTTCTGTTGTCAAATTATAGTGTAAAATCTATTGTTCATAAATATTTATTAATAGGTGGCTACAAATTATTACATTGGAAAAGGGTGGAACAGACATACCTTAAATCTGAGTAACCATACATATGGGGGGGAGTAAATGCTTTATTTTTATTTATAGTAAAGCTAAAAATACACAAAATTATTGTACAAGATTTTTTTAACACAGTTAAGATTGACACTAAGTTTGCACTTCTTACAGAAAGTAAATAAAATAGTTACTGAAAGAGGTTTTAGCTTTTAAAATAGTTTGCAAAGCCAAAACACCATTTTTCACAAACACATTTGAAATTTTTTATGATTAAGCTTAGGAGCTATAATTTGAACCTTAAATTTGACACTAACACTTTCTGTATGATAATGCATGACTGGGGCCACCAGCTAGGCTGAAAAAGTGAATTAAGCATACACTTTATTTTCTAATCTTTTTTTTCTTTTTTGCTGTAGTTCCAAACTGCATTTATTAGTTTAAGTAGAAAGGAATTCCCCATCCTCGATTTCATCCCTATAGTTGAGAAATCTTGAAGATATTGAATCCTATGAATAATTTAAATATTGCTGTCCTCTTGAATACTACTTCTAGTGTTAGAAAAAAACAAGAAAGAAATTGTTCAATATCATAGACTGGTTTTCATAAATACATACATTCTGAACAATTTAAAACAGGTCATCAAAGAAGGAGGTACCTTTCTCTGAAGGGAGGAGAGAACCTCCACTTTGACTATGACCTTGTCTAAACAAGATAAGAGTCGGAGAACTCAGAGGGCTTCCATAGCCTTGGAAACTCATGACTGGAGCATAGGGAGATTACTGATGCCATAGACAGGAGTGTCAATTGGTAAAGTCAACAACAGGAGTCACTGTGCACTTACTCCTCATGTAGGATCTCTATCCTTAATGTGCTGTGCATTGAGATTTAATGCTATAACTAGTACTCAAACAATATATTTCACTTTGTGTTTCTATGGGGGTGCAAACTGTTGAAATCCTTACTTAATGCATACTAAACTGATCCTTTGTAAAAAAAAAAAAAAAGAAATTATCAATTCCCAACTTGACTCTCACTGGGATTAAACATGACAATAGGTCTGCTCTGATTTCATCATCATTTAAAAAAATCATCTATTATTTTTCACTTTATGTTTCTGTGTGGGAGCAAACTGTTGAAATCCATACTTAATGTATACTAAGCTGATCTTCTGTATATTAAGAT